ATAATATTCAATTAGGAACACTTACACCAATTCAGAGAAGTCTTGATATCACTTGCAAATTTTCAGATGAAATTCTTGACAAAAATAGCCTTCAAAGATTTTTAGGTTACGTTAATTACGTAGAAGATTTTGTCAAAGAAATCCGAATCCTATGTGCACCTTTATATATTACTCTTTTTTCATAAATATTGTGCCATTTAACTTAACATAATAACAAAAATTTAAAATTAGTAAAACATTTTAAATATATAACTATACATATACATGCACATATAATAAAAAAAAAATTTGGTGCCCCTACAATGCTGAGATCGTGTACGGTTGATCAACTCGTGCACCCTCATGTTGCCTCTGATTACTGGGCCATGGCGAGGATAAGGTAATTTTCTCTTCTTTATTAGATCGCTTTGAATGGATTTAATCTTAAGATAGTCTTTAATACACATTTAGAGCTTGTTTGGGAGGGATTAAAATCAGATTAAAATTGAAAATATAGCCGTTATTGTTGACTTTTATTAGACGGGTGGGACCCAATAACGACCATATTTTCAATTTTAATTGGATTATAAGCCCTCCCGAACGGGGCCTTAATTATATATGCAGACCAATACAAATAATGTTGTCATAGGAGGTCGATTAACGAATTCCGTAGCATCGCAGCTGTCTAGTGAAGCTTGTGGAAAGAAAGCTTACTTGGCAAGTTGACATTAGCTTACATGGCCTTAGCTTCCTAGGTGGCGCACATGTGGTCCCACACAAATTACAAAAAAATTGAATAAATGGTTAACCAACAATTACTATACAGAACATAAAGGTGCAATAGTAACATATTTGAGATAGTTGCAATAACGTGCTGAAAGAGTGAGAAAATGTGACTTACATTCCAAACATGAACTTATACTGCAAGCGTCAATTAGATACTTGAAATTATTAAAGTAGGAAAATCCATACCAGAAAGATGACGTTATACGATATTGCCTAATTATTTATGAACATTGAGCAATTTTGCGAAAAGCTTCAGCTTGAAATCCTCCTGAAAATAATGTATGCACCATACTGAGGCTCCAAAGTCCAGGAGAGAATTGGGGCATGAACATATGATGGTGAAATTTTAGAAGCAGGTCAAGACCCACGCATCTGTGGTTGCTGGAACGTCAACATTTTCCCAACCTAATGTTGTGTGATGTTTGCCTCATCAACATCACAACTGGAGGGTAAAGTCGAAGTGTTTCGTTCAGTATGCAGGCTACCTGTTGGACGAAATGCAAAGTTCAGTGGACGAAGTGTAAAAGTAAAAAGGTTCCATCACTTGGAGTTAATAATCTCATTTCTAAACTCAAGTTGTTAGATAGGAGATCAATGCATAACCGTGGATGTCCGGCCAACTTTCGCGCACCTCGACTAATCCCACGGGGCCCTGAAGTTTACGATCGATACTCACCTCAGTAGCTTTGAGGGAACTCGAACTGGTGAAGGAGATCCATGCATTTAATTAAATGTTATCTTCACACATCCCGCAACATGCACTCCACTGTCTTAATGGTCTGACGGGGGACAAATTTTCATAAATGGGTGGAGTGAAATACAATGTTTACCACCTTATCTATAACCTTAAGCTGTCAGAGATGATACATGTTTTTATTTAAACGACACTGTAGAGAGATGGGGGAAATGAGGAAAAATCAAACTTACAATCTTGAAATCGTTTAGATTCTCTGTATTTGGAAGTTCACCGTTCTTGCAAACCCGAAAGACTTCTTCTCTTGCCCTGCTTTGCCATTCTTGATGGTGTGCTAGGAGCAGAAGTGCCCATGTCAAAAGGTTGGCAGTTGTCTCCTTCCCTGCAAAGTAGAATGTCTTGCATTCATCTATAACTTCTTCCACCCCTAACCCCTGGTTATCCTTATCATTATCACCATTGACAGACATTAACAGAGAAAGAAGATTGTTTGAGTTCTCTCCTATTTTGCTGTTTGTTACAATCAACATCCTTACTGAATCCCGAATTTCCTTCTCTAGTTTCCACATGATTCTGTTTCTGTTAGTTGGTAGAAACCTGTATATGATTTGACAAAAACAGTCATGAATGTCATATCATAATCAATAAAATACCATTTAGTCATCGATATTTTTTCTCTCTCAAATATCGTGACATTGAATGTTTTGTTTCCTGCTGATAAAACTTCCTAAAAGCAAGCTAGGTGGTAATAAAGCTGTTAACTTTCTGCTCATCTCCAGTCTCAGTTTGTCTGCTCACATATTTTCAACTATGGGGATTGAGGTTCCTTTGGTATAGTGTTCTTGTAAATTAGGGTCAATTCCGATTTCTGGCTAGATAGGGAGTGATTCCAAATTCAGAGGTTAGTCCTCTAACGACTATGTAAGGCATTAAGTAATTGGTGTCTGCAATTTTTTTGTTGATGGATCCCTGTGGTAAGGCTAGAAACTATAGCTAATATGCATGATTTAGCACACGAGGACCTTGGAATGCTTACCTTGATAGCTAATTCTGCCTGCAGGTAATTTCTCACAAATTTCATAGCAAACAGGACGTAGAGATCTTGGCTAAATTCGGCCTTCCAGTCACATGTCCAAGAAGTTCTCAGTCCTGGATGATGACTCCATATAACACTCAGCGTGATCTAAAGCTGCTCATCAGGTTACTTCGATGCTCCTTAGTCGTTGGTCATTTGTGTTTGAAATGTACCATGTGACTCAGCCTTTATATCTTAGACTTAGGAGGATGACACTATTTGGTCAAGAAATCATCGTGGTCATATCTTACCCATTCAGACTCCAATTATCCCCTCTTTTTATCTCTAGTAATACCCCTCAACCTCCTCATTAACTCTACAAACTTTCGGGCTTGCCATGTAAAATGTGGTTAGGACCCAGTAGACTCGATGCCAATTCTGTTTGTTAAAATATCTATTTCTTCCTAATACACTAGACAGATATCTACAGAGTTATGCCTCAAGACAATTAAATCTCTACTTAAGCAAAATGTCCTTGATCTTAAGGTTATTTACTGAACTATCTATCTAGAGCTTCTAACTACAACATTTCTTACTTTAATGCAAACGAACGGGAATTAGTGAACGGATTTTTGTTTAAAACAATTAATGGACAGTATAATCTTTGAAAGGTTAAGCATTTTTATTAGCATCATATATGCTGATTAGCTTAGTATTAAAACAATTGGAAATCAGTGAGAAGATTTTCACCTTAATCCAGGAATATAAACACTTCGCATAGCCTGCAAAGTAAGCATCGTCTGTTGTTCTTGTAGTTCAAATATGCGCTTTCCCTCTTCAAAGCTACTCCCAAATGCTGTCCTAGATACAATATCTGCTGAAAGATTATGAAGTGCTTTGTTAATATCAATTTCAAATTCATCTCTTCCTCCTCTTTCATCTTCCCATTTGTTCAGCTCTTTTGAAGTGCTAGCCACGATTTCAGGGACCCAAGCCTGGAAACAGTTATGCCTTTACTCTTTCCCCCATAGAAAACCAACAAAAAAAATGAAAAAAGGAAGATCTGTTTGGTACAGTGGGATATATGGGACTAAGGTAGAGAAACATGCCACGAAACTTGCAAATTTGTCCTTTCCACTTCAACATACCAAAAATGCCACGAGCATACCACTTCTAAGTTCGAGTAATCTGAAAACTTCTAGGCAATTGGTTTAAATAAACACTTGAACAAATAGGAAGAACCTTAAGCTTTTAGTTCATAATATTCATGTATACATAGGAAGCATTAAAGTTCCAACACAGCAGCTTATGTGTCTAGTTTATGGACAATGAAGAATATAATTTTCCATGCTTGCTAAACATATGAAATTGATGGCCATAATAAATTTTAAGATGGAAGAATTTTATATATACTTGCATATTCAAGAAAATATTTCCAACTTTTATAATGCAGAAAATATTATGCTAAATCTTTTCAATACAGCAATAGTAGTCCCCCCAATAAACGGAAACTTGATTTAAGCTAACATCATAAGCTTTTAGATGAGGTAGTTATCCTGGGTTCAAGTTTTGCCTTCATCCATTTATAAATTTTTTAAACTCTTTTTGGGTCTTTGGTGACAAAATGAATCCAACCTACACATGAGGGGGCTTGTCAAAGGCAATTTAAATAAATAATTCTGTCGCATCTCTAGCAGCTTAACCGTTTTGATGAGGTGGTTCAACACGAGAGAGAGGTATTACCTTAACTCTCTCCATGGTGAAGGCTTGACTTGTGATCTTTCTGTGAATGGTCCATTTCTTACCCTGCAAGCCAACAAGTCCCTGTCCAAATAGCTGCTTAGACAGAGGATTGAGTGCATCTTTAAACACTGAGTCATTGTTGTTCACCATAAGCTCTTTGATCATGTCTGGTTCAGAAAATATCAGCAGAGAAATGTCTTCCCATATATGGCTGACCATCTGTAGTAGTGTGGAGATACTCGACCGAGTATGTCATGACAGAACAGGATTGATTTTGATTCAGCCTCTATTCTGATATGGTTCATTTCCTTTAAATTTCCATGTAAAAGATGGTAAGACGGACCTATAATGCCTTGTTTCTTAAAGTGTTTCTGAATTTTCCATGGATTATAAATGATGGTGCGTGTGATTTTCACAAGGTAGATTGATATTACGAGAAGAGCAGTAGGAAGTAGAAAATGCATGATTGGAGCCTTGATGGAAGCACAGAGAGGAATGGGGGAGGAAAAGAGAGAGTGGGAGATCAGAACTGCCAGTATGGAATAATGTAAATGCTTGGTTAAGCTTAAAACATTTACTTTTTAGTCAATAAGTCGGTTCTAAAGTAAATATTTGTTTATGCTGGTCATATTTGGAGATTTCTTACTGTCAAATAAGCAATTTTCTAACTTATAAGTTAGAAAAATGTAATTTATCCAAACATGCGGCCTAATGAAAATGATCCATGGTTTTAATATCATCTTATGCAACAGGGGGTCTAATACAAAATTGTTAAAATGTTAGAATATTTGTAAGATGCTGGCGGCAGGAGCAAATTGCATTGGCATGACCTTGACATTGTAGAAATAGTTGACATTATTGAGCGTTATCTTTATGTATTAGGAACAAGAACCTGTCATGTACTCCTATTGTCCTTTTCTCATGTTTCATTTACTTTTACCTAATTTTTGGAATTATTGTATTAGGAGACAATTTTTGTTGGTTTTATTTATTTGTCACTTTGAGTTTCTGATCAAAGTTTAAAAATTAAATGAAGATTCATAACTAAAGTTGAATGTGCGATGAACGCTTGACAATATGGGACACAACCTCGGCTCGTGTCCACAAATTGTGCTCGATTTGGCCCTCTGGCTTGTGGGCCAGCTGGGCTGAGCCGTGCCAAGCCATCCACGAGCCCATGACCCTACTCGAATTTTTGTAAATAAATTAATAAAACAAATTGAAATCCTCTTCATTTATTTGAAGTTGTTAATCGATTACTTTTAAAGCATACGAAGTTAAAATTTTACACGAACAAGTTATTATGTGTACAATTTTTTTTGAAAAAGGCAAAAAAAATTAAGCAAATTAATGTAAATAATACTTACAAATTATGAAAAGAAAATTTTTAGCTATTAATTTGTCCACTATTTTGTATCCAAAACTCTCCCAAACCTTTAAATACTGTAAACTTTCCATGCAAGCTGCAATAAATGGAATGTATTTTTACAAAGTTCAAAGATAGAGATGACATCTTTGAAAGTCGTGTTGTTTTGGAGGCTATTCGAAGCATCTATGCAGATTATATAAGACATTACATAAAGGAGAATAGTTTCACAATTTTTTGGGAGGCCAAGAATACAATTGATATGTTCAACTTCAAGACAGTAAACAACTAAAAAAGTTCGATCTGGATTCATATCTAAAGGTAGAATTCACCAATTTTAGGCTAATTATTGGTTTGAATAAATTGACTATTGTCATATTTTATAATCCATTTGGAATAATATATAGAAGAAAGATGTATAATAGTAGAATTTACACTAAAATTGGACATAAATAAGTCAAATAAGTAAAATTTTGAGACAATAAAACTTTTGATTGCACAATGAAAGAGGTAATATGGAGATTATAATAATTGTTAATTGAGAATATAGAGATTTCTGGAAAAAGGAAAAGCAAAGTGAAATGTGAGTTTATATAAAAAATAAATAAAAAAAATTATGACCGTTTAGAGAGAAATAAAAATAAAAATTGGACCGCTAAGCAAATTGTCACAAATTATGATCGTTTGGCCAGTGGTCATAAACAAAGTGGCCAACGAGGTACGAGTTTGCTCGTGAAAATAATGTGTATTTGATTCGAACATGGCTCGTCTCAAAATGAGTTTGAGCTGTCCATGGACTGACTAAAGCCTCGAGTCCACATCAGTTTGACCTGTTTGCCACTCTTTCCTGACAATTAACTGATTGATGGCAAATATATGAAGTGGAGATTTAATATCTCATATAGAAGATCAAAATTAATTTGCAAAATTACTCCTGGAGTTGTGAAAATAAGCAAATGAAGGATCCGTTAATTGCAAAAGTGAAAAATGGGTGGAAATAAAATATTTTATAGAGAATTGATTTGCTTAGAAATTATTTTATTGGAAATTGTAATTAATTGTATTTGATTGATATAATTTTTCATTGAAAATATTGCAAGTTTGGTGTCCGTTTGATTTCATTTTTTTATGAAAATTGTTCATTAAAATGATAATTTTTCTACTATTGGGTCTAGAATTTGTTTCAATTCCAAAAAAAAAAAAAAATAAAAAAATTGAAAAAAAAAATTATCATACCAAATATCATTCGTTTGACTTTGTTTTTCATGAAAATTGTCAATAAAAGTGATAAATATTTTTACCATTGTATCTAGACTTTTTCCAATTCCCAAATAAAAAAAAAAAAAAAGGAAAATTTTTTCCCACCAAAACATCAAGAATTTATTTTCTTCAAAAATGTGGAAAATGAAAAAAGGTGGAAAAAAATTTTCGGAGAAAATTTTGCGTATCAAACACTACAAAAGTTGGAAAATATAGCGAATCAAACGGAGCTGAAATGAAGAATAGTGTAGCTATAAGTATGTTTCAAATAACTATTTTTTGGCAAAAAAAAAAAAAAAAAAATTGAATATAAATAAGTTATTCAAACATGTAAGTAAACAAAATACGTATCCTTAGAAGTAAAAAATCATGTATAAAATTACTTATCAGTAAAATAATTATGTATAAGTAAAAACTCATTTATAATTAAAAAGTTTGCATACAACTAAAATACTCCATCCATCCCATTTATATAGATTGATTTTATGTTTCACACGGATTAAGAAATTTCATTTAATGTTATTGAAAAAGTAATTTTTACAAAGTATTATTCTAGTTCAACTAGAAGTAGTTTTTGAAAAAAATGGTAATGATTAGGCAAATTACTATGAACCACTTCAACTTTACTCCCTTCAAGAACTATGTGTATGTATTTGGATGATTCCATTAAGTACGTAAATTAAAATCTATACAATCTCAAGATTAAGTGAAAAAAAATTGTTATAATTAGACAAATTAAATAAGAGTATTAGTAAGAGAACAAAATAAATACTTTCTCAATAAAGAAATAAGACTACATAAATGTAACAAGAAAATAAAAAAAAGTCAGCCTAAATAAATGAGGTAGTGGGAGTAATTACTTATTAGTAAAAAAATAGATATTAATACTTGAAAAATCACTTAAAAGTTACTTATTAAGTTAAAATTATATTTATGTAAAAATCATTTATAAGTAAAAATGTACTCATGAGTTAGAATATAGTTCTCCCGTCCCATAAAGATGTGATATAAATTACTCCATTTATCTTTATGGGATATAAATTACTCCATTTATCCCATAAAGATAGACTCCATTAATATGTGTGAAAATAAAAGCAAGTGTATCTTTATGGGATAAATGCAGTAATTTATATGTAAAGAAAGTAACTTATAACAAAAATCATCACTTATAAGGAAAATACATTAACAAGTGAAAAAATTACTTATAAGTATAAAAGTTACTTTACGACTAAAAAATTCACTTATAATAAGTAATAAAATCTCTAATGATTAAATGTGCGTTTAAGTAAGAAAAATTATTTATAAATAAAAACATATTGTAATAATTTTTTTATTTTTTAATACTAGTACATTTTTTAATACGGTGTACCACCGAAATTTGAAAAATCCGACCAAATCCACCTTAATCTAATTTCTAATCCTATATTCTATCCTGTGTTGTATATCAAACGTATCCTAAAATGATATTTGAATTCTGGTTTGTTGAAAAAAATATGCAAATATTATGCCCTTGTTTATTTAAGTCAAAAATCAATAATTAACTTTATTCGTACATTTCTTAGAATCGATCACTTTTCAACCATACATTTTGTTAACTTCTATAAAAATCTGTTAAATATCAGATTTCAATCTCTGTCAAACAGCACTATATACAGCCTGACATATATGGCTGTCACAACAATATTATTAAGTTAATCAATTCCTTCCAAATTGAGAGACGAATACAATTAGTGATGAAAAAAATCCGCCCCGCCCCGCCCCGACGAGTTGGCAGGGCAGCGCAAGGATGGCCGCCCCGTCTCGGGTCTAGGGCGGGTTCGTGAAGAATAAAAAAAATTGATGAACTACAAATGTTTAATTTTGGACATTATTTGTTTCGAGTACTTGCTTTGGATATTAATGTAGCTAGTTGAGCATTATTTGATTAAAATTTTAAAATTTTGAATTTGTATTTTAACAAGAAATTTTTGAAAAAAAAAATGGGCCCGCCCATATAAGGCAAGATGGGGCGGGGCGAGGTTAGGCAGAGGCAGGGGCAGGGACAGGGGCAGGGGAGTGGCGGGACGGGGCCCGCCCCGCTGCCATTTCTAAATAGAATCTAAACTTCAAAGATGTCTAGCCAATTAAAAGGACATGTAGATGTAGGAGGAGATTTGTTTATGAGAATTGGATTTTACTGTACCTCCCCTCTGCCATTTCTAAATACAATCTAAACTTCAAAGATGTCTAGCCAATTAAAAGGACATGTAGATGTAGGAGGAGATTTGTTTATGACGATTGGATTTTACCGAGCAGTACAGTGGACAAAATTAAGGGAAAAATACATACATATAAAGATTTCAAAATATACTTTAAATTTGTGGAAAAGTTTCAAAAATCAAGTCATACGATCGCTTGATATCAATTTTGTGACTTATTAATTAAATTAGACAGGTCAAGTTATTAATGCACAATTTATTGCAGCAATTACATACCAGCCACAATCACACAGACATAAATTTTGCATTGCAATTATAAATTTAGTCACAAGTCACGTATTTTTGTATGTCACATATTATTTATGGATCACAAATTATCCATTTTATTGATCAGT